TATATATTTTTTGACTGGATTTCTTTGGGAAACAAGAAATGGACATTGCATTGTGACTAGCTGTTGATGGGTCTGCTTTCATGGCTAATATTTTCCTGGAGTTTTTGCTGCGCTCTGCACAAACAGGAGTGTTTGTGATTATCACTCTGCACGACATATACAAAAATCATGCAGAAAGCATTTGAGAAGAGCAGATGGTTAAAAAAGGTGGAGAAATAATGGTTGGCTTTAAAATACACAGTGAATGTTTAACAAATGGAGAGGCTGATGGTGTGGCAGATCTCAGTGATTGTTTACAAATATGCAATCTGAAATAATTTAACAACTTTGGATAGATGCTGAGAATACAAAGCTGTTATTTACTCTAGGTCTTCTAAATGACTTTCATGTCTCCTACCAAAATGAGTTACAACCAATCAAGATTATTATTTCTTTGAAACTGGAGTTTGGTCAAAACTAATCATATGAGGGATCAATACAAGTAAGAGCTAAGACAACGTCATGTGACATTTGTACTGTAGTACTGAACGTGCTGTTTATGTGCATACTGGAAATATCCAATGATGCCTCTGCATTTTGAAACATAATGCAGGAATGGACTCTGGATATTGCTGAACAGAATCTCTCACTATGGGGCATTCAGGCAGACTCCCGCTTCCTGTTACAAGTCAGGAGCCTCCCAGATCTTCTAGAGGGGTAGGAAATTTTCTTCAATTAGTTTATCTTAGTATCAAAGGTTATAATCAGGGCTAATCCAAGTTGTTCCCTTGCCTGAAGCAGAGCAACAAATGGACACTTATCATGGCAGAGTAGTTCTTCTGACCACATGAGGCAGAAAATTACAGAAGGACATCTTTCCAGTCCTGGCCGTAAAGATACAAAACAAAAAATCAAAGAAGAAAATCCACAAATTAAATACCTAACAATTTACTTCTGTTCACCCCACCCCATCCCACCCCACCCCACCTTACCCCACCCCACCTTCTGTTTGAGGTGGATTCATTTTGTCTACTGATAGAGGTGGCTTTACTCTAGGTCAGTGTTTCCCAACCTTGGCAACTTTAAGATGAGTGGGCTTCAACTCCCAGAATTCCCCAGCCAGCATGCAAGAAATAAAGTAATTTGTAAATAGGATGAATAAATGCAATACAGAAGATGGCTTGCAATACTAGAGTGTAACAAACTACACCTGTTAAAACCTCTTTTTACATACCGTAGTTCTTAAAGGCTTGGAAACATTTGATTGCTTTAGATATGAAGCATCCCTAAGGGACAGACAACCAACTCCCTAATGATTTAAACTGAACTCAAACTACACTATAGTTTTGACAAAATATTTTCATCAAAGTGAATCTGCTGCCAGGCAAAATCATCATGACTGTACATGTTTTATAATTTAAAATAATGTATCTATAAGTGTGTAAAAAAATGAGTATATTCGTGTTTCTTTGCAAAATCTGCAGAAATGAATTGGGAAGGACATTTTCTCTCTCAGTTCTAAAAAACTAGAGCTACAATGGGACTATAACTTTCATGTATAATCAGTACAAGCCAAAATTGATTATAGCTGCTATCTGCTACTTAGGTATTTAAAAGTAAATCTCACTGAATAAGATTTACTTTCAAACAGACATAGTTGACATTTTCAGAGGCGACCTTTAAACGTGCACTGCTTTCACTTTAATTGCAGAGATATACTTCAGTTTCATTTGTATAGGTGCCAGCACCTTTTCTATCCATAATACACCTCTCATATCCATAATATTTTTTTAAAAATCCTAAACCAAAATAAGAAACCACAAGAAAAAACAATGTTGTGATTGTGTTCTTGAAAACAAAAACGTAAATGCAACAATGGCGAGGAATCTTCAGGTTAGCCTGGCAGGGATATGTTGTTTGGTTCATTTAAATATTGTACGGTTTTTAATTAAAAATGCCTCCCAAATTAAATTCAGATGTTGGTTTTTAAAGGGGACTGCAAGAATTATATTTCTGTCTGTAGAATGGTTATCATTTTTATTTGTGGAGGTGGATAATGCAAAAGCTAAATGGTTTTGTCTAAAAAATTAGTTTGAAGTTCAGTCTCAAGTCTTTTGCAAGATCTAAGAATATTTGACAAGGGCTCCTGGGTTTCTCACTTTTTTCTAATCAGGATCCCTGAGCCTGTAACAATGATGTGATAAACAAAAAACTAGTGGGTGCAACTTGGAGATGCACTGCTGAGAAAAGCTCTAGTCAATTTTCTTTGGTGGTGGCACTATTGAAACTCCAAGTGTCACAAAACTCTAGCCTCTCTGATCCATTCTACCTTGCTCATCCTTTATTTCTGTGAACTCGTCCTTCTCTTTCCCACAACTGTGCCATTTTCTTCTGGCTAACAGCCTGTTTTCTAGGCCATGCATGGCTGATCTAGAATAGCCATGAATGGGTTATTGAATGGCCATTCTTTAACTTGGATCTTGGATTCTCTGTTTCTCCTTTCTGTTGCATTCTTCATTCTTTGTTTGCTTGTCCTGAATAACCAAAGCATGTTCATGAAGGTGGTGCCAGTAAGGTAAAAGTTACTCCATGCCCTTCTATTCAAAGCAGACACCTATTAGTCAAATGTGCCCTAGAATGAAGAAGCTTATGTAGCTACTCTTACATTCTGATTAGAAGCTTGGTAAAAAGATAGGTTCAAAAGACTCATTCTTAACATTGTCTGAATAACTTAAAACCAATCTGTTTACAAAAAGATACAGGCCCTACAGAGCTATACAAAGAAGAGGTATAATACAGAAAAGAGAATGAGGTCCAGGATGAGTAATAGTAAGCTTGGCCCAAGCTGTGTGCAGATGCAGAGCTTCTGACAGAAGTGTTTTAATGAAGACCCCCTTGGTATGAATAAGAAATAGGTTGTCGTGTTCCAGGCCTGACAGTAAATGTATTTACAGTTCCATATTGTGGACTCCCATGCAAAGGTCTAAACAGAAGAAATAGCAAAAATATCATTAGTTCAATAGAAATTCTTAGCAATAATAAAGTCATGTGATCCAATTAATAGGTATATTCCAAATACAAGAAAACAATTTTGAAGGAAGAAACTTTTCAAGTCAGTATAATCTGAGATTTTGATAGTGAGATAGCCTTTGGTTATCAGAGGCACATACAGCAGATATGTAATACAAGGTTTTTGGCCTAATGGCTTTTTCAGCTAAATTCTAACAGTGTTATCATCCCATTATAAATAGTGAATAACCTGGGTGTTCTGAATATTTTCACTTCCATTTCAAAAAGAAATAAAAAAGAAATAAAAGAAATAAAAGGCTAGTCTATCTGAAAATAAGGTCTGTTGAATTATGTAAATTTCCCAGTACCTATCTCTTTTCTCTAAATATAACTTGAAATAAACAGCTGGTCATATCAAACAGTCATCTACTAGTAATACATTATTTCCTTCTCAACTGAGAACTTGGTGATTTTGACAGTGATCTTAGCTGTAGGAACACGTATGGAAGAAGCATGCATTTGGCTGGAGTAGTAGACATCTGGTCACCTGGCTGAACAATAATTTGATTTTAAATGGAAAGTACTCTATCTACAGCATTATAACTCTGAAAAGGAGGAAAAAACAAAGACTGCTTACATTATACTGGAAAATGGAAACTGCAGAATGTTAACCTGCATGCAGACTTCTGGCCAAAATATTTCCATGCAGCCCTTTACCCACATTACAATTCCTGTATTCATGACAAATGGAACATACCTGCCATCAGCTGTTGCATTGGTTGAATATTCTCCATTTTGGCTTTTATACTGGGCATCATTGAAAGTAGTATTATAAGTTATGATTTTTCCAGGTATTTCCAAGGACACCCTTCGGCCCTGTGTACCATTGGGAACATTTCTATGAGTAGAATTTGCTCGGTGGATCCCTTCTGCAGCTGGAGAATTGTAGGTCACTGCACTGTGGCCATAGGAGTTAGGTGTGCTCATACTGCGAGTAGACATACCTGCCCTGCTATATAAGCCATCAGTCTCTGATATATAAAGGCGTTTTTTAATTAGGGGGCGGCTATTGGAACAGCTACTAAGGTAATTGGAGGTATAGCTACCACCTGGGTAATGGTGACTATATCCACTTGGACTTGGACTGCTTTCCAGGACTGATTTAGATGTCAAGGAGTAGCTGTTGCCATAGTTATAGCTTGAGTTGTTGAAGTTAAGGTGCTTATCTGAGGTCTGAGTATCACATGATAGGTTGAGACATTTGTAGTTTTCCCCATCCGAAGACCACTTTGGGATCTCAGAGGCATCATTGCTGAACTCTGGTGGTGGAGGAATTATTTCGTAATTGAATCCTTCTTCCACCTCATCATTCTTGACAGTATGGTTTTGGGATGGAGGGAGAAAATGAAAAGGAATTTCTGATGTGCTCAGTGGATCATGCTGCTTCAACTGACTGGAGTCTGAGAAGTTTGGAACCAAAATAGATGAACCACACTTACTTGATGAAAGACTCTGAGATTCATTCATCTCCCTGAACTTCAGTGTATCCCTGCATTGTGCGGAGCCATTGGAGAACATTTGTGGCTTATTCTCACTTTGTCCTGACAAGCTCCAGATATGGCTGTTGGATGCAGTTGCTCCATTACACTGCTTACTTTCAGAGACTGCCAATAAGTCCTTGTGTGGGGACTTTGGTACAACCTTGACAGTGTTGGGCTTTGAACTGCTGTAATAAATGGTGGATGTCCCATTCTCGGATTGGCTGCTATTGCTCAACTTTAGCTGGGACTTCTCAGATAAATAACTATTCTTTTGGGAGGCAGAAGCAGAACACTTGGCTCTTTGGGCCCGCAGTTGTGCAGCCAGAAGAAGAGCCATTGGAGACCCTTTCTCTACTTTTTCTCCTGTAACAGGATGAAATAGAATATCACTGCTCACTTGTTCTGCATTCCTAGATAGTTTAGCTGTTGTTAAGGGCACATTCCCAGTAGAATCTCTTTGATTTTCATTATTACTTGGGCTGTTGGGCCCATCATGTGTAGCTTGGGGAAACGTTGCAGAGGCAAGGCTGTTATCAGAGTCCAATCTTGTCCTGTGAGTCTTGTATTGCAGAAGAGAGAGATCCACACTGGGAGAAGCAGTTTGTATGGGTGAGGCAGCCCCAGAAGTGGAAGGAGAAGATGCAGGTGGAGCCAAGTGTTCACTTTTGGGCTTTAAAGGTGAAATTGGTGGCTTGCAGGTGTGGACAGAAGCACTAGGCGTCTTTGGTTCTTTCTCTGTAACTTCCAATGTGGTACTACATGGTTTTGCTGTCGGAAATTTCAACTCACCATTATTGTCCTTATTGCCACCAAACTGAAGAGTAATTTGTTTCCTTGTTTCTGGATTATGTCTCAGGTTTGCAATTGCCAAAGGTGGGCCTCCCTCCTTTGCTGGAGCCAGTAAAGCTTCCAACTCCTCTTTAAATTTCATAACACAATTTCCTTGAATGGTGGGGGATTTGTCTGTAGTTGAGAAAACATCTTTGGTGAAAGATGTGGTTGGGAAAGAAATGTTAGCAAGTTTCTTTTCTTTCTTCTCATTCTCTGCTCCTTCTGGTAAGTATGTTTGTTTCATATCATGCTTAACTAGTTTTAATTTGTCCGTAGTAACATTGTTACTATCAATATATGTGCCTTTAGACTTGGAAGCCATAGTTCTTTCAATCTGTCTGTCTTCCTTTTTGCAAGATGAGGACAGCAGGGTTGACAGTTCATTCTTCAACTTATCCAGATTGCAACGTTCCTTCCAGTCATTATCGTCAGACAATGCGTGGTCTGGAGATGAAAATTCTGTTCTTTCTTCAGTGGACCAAAAGAAATTCTGTTCTTTCTTCAGTGAACATCTTTCGGAATCTAATGTTTCAGATTCTGTGGCTAAAGCAAAATGCTTTTCCAAAGTAGCTTTGGCTCTAGCTTCTGCCTCTGAGTGATCTATGGCAGCGGATTGTACAGTAGGTAATAGAGGAGTGTGACTGTCAAGTGCCATTCTAGAAAACTGTTCTTTGGGGCTTGATTCTTTTTCTCCTGAGGAAATAGACGATGTTCTCATGGGAGTAGGAGGGGGTACTTTTAATGATTTGGGAAAGGTGAGGTGAGGCTCTGGGCTGGATTGTGGTAACTGTGACTCCTTCTGAATAGGTGTTGTTGGAGAGATGAGGGAAGAATTATGAGTATTTAGAACAGTCTCTGATTTCCATTTGGACACACCATTTAAGAAGGGTTGTGTATAAGCTGGTGATGAAACTGGAGGAATAGGAGGTAATGCACTATCCATAAAATCTAGGAGGAGGAGGAGGAGGAATGAAGTCTGGTGGGGATGGAGTACTGGGAGAAGACATATTGGAATATGGGAATGAAGGTGGAGTCAGAGATGAAAGAGATGGAGCTGGCATTGCTGGTGGAGGTGGAGGTGGAGGAGACATTGGTGGTGGAGGTGGAACTACCACAGAAGGTGGAGGTGGAGATACCATAGGAGGTGGAGGTGGAGCTATCATAGAAGATGAAATTGATGGTAAGTCAGCTGAAGGTGGTGGTGGTGGAGGAGGAGGAATTGAAGGTGGTGGTGGAATGTAATCATCATCCAAATAATCTTGCTCAAATGCCTTTGTCCTCAGGTCAAGTACTGAATTGTACTTTCTATAACTGCCATTGATTTGTGAACCTAGGGAGAAAACAGCACATAAGTAAATAAATATATTATATTGCTTTCATTTTACACTGGGAAGAGTAAACTTATCTAAGTGAATATTTTCTGTTTGACTCTAGTGAGAAATAGTTCAAAAGGTTTTGAAGGGAATCAGAGAAGGTAGCTCCTCCCTGCCGTCAAAACCCAAAGAGAAACAAAATGTACAAATCCATTTATAATACCTTCAATTTTTGGTTTTCAATTTCTTTTCCTGACTGGCAAATTAACTGTTATTTTTATAATGGAAATAAGTTTCAGCCACTGATGCTTTTTTTAATTAAGCAAGTGGGAAGTTCTTTGGGGAAAGTTCATTTGGGTTCTAAGATTAACAGAAGAGGCAAATGGGGAACATAATCACTAATGCAGCAACTACATCAAATTTATCTATCACATTTAAGAGAGCTGTGTGTCCTTACATGGTCACTGGAATCTCTACTGAAAAATAAGATGGTCTATTCCTATAATTTGAGGCATATCTGTAATTTGCAATTGAATCTGTTCCTTTTTATGCTGGAGAGCACACTTTAACCTGCCTGCCTCCAGGTGTCAGGGTTGCAGAATGCAGAATCCCAGCATGACCAGAGGCCATTCTGGCTGGTGAACTTTTTGAGCTGCATCCCTAAATATCTGTAGAACCTTATGTAGAGGAAGGTTGCCACTGAGTAAAAGCCAAGCTAAATATGATGTGTACATTTATAAAATACAAAGAGCTTCTGCTTCCATGGGAAACATTAGCTCCTGATTACAGATAAGAACTCAAACAAGTGGCACCTAGACACTACACAATTTATTCTGGATGGCAGCAGGAAGGAAAGCTTAAATTTCTCCCCTGCTTCCAATGGGTTTATGATAGCCACATTTTTCCTACCAGATTATTTTTATTAAAAACCCAAAAATGTATATGCATTGTTCAAATACATGAAATTTAAAGAAATTTAACATCATGCTCAACTTGGCTTTAAATAACACACTACAGACATGAATGCAACTCAATGCAGAATTCATGTAAAGCACACAGATGATATGAAAACATATTTTTTCCCTCTCAAAATCACTTCTTCCAAGCTATTTTGCTACTGGGTAGGGGGCTACTTTCAATGGTGGGGTCTCACAATGACAGGGATAATAATATAGGTGGGAGAAAAGTTCAGCTCCCCCATCTGCCCACAGTGAGTTTTAATAGCCTATAATGATTGAGTATTAGAACAGTCACTCAAAGCATGCAATACAGGATATCTCCCCACAGTTTATATTCTATAGGGAGGATAGAACTAAGAGAGGGGAAATTGGAGTGTGGGGCTAGAAGGATGGGTCTGAGGAGAACTTGGAGTCTCCATATCTGGATTATTGCAATGTGCTCTACATGGGGCTGCCCTTGAAGACCATCTGGAAGCTATAACTGGTACAAGCAGTAAGGTGTGCCTTTCAGTGTGCCCATGTGTCACCACTGCTATGTGAGCTGCATGGGTTGCCAGTTGGCTTCTGGTAGCAATTCAAGGTGTTGGATATTACCCATAAAGCCCTTTATGGCATAGGGCCTGGATAACTGAGGGACCGCCTATCTCTCCAACTGTTCCTGCCCACCTAGTATATTCCAGCAGAGCTCTTGGTCCCCTTTATTAAATGTGATCATCTTATAGGGCTGAGGAAGTGTACTTCCTCTGTCACAGCTCCTGCCCTCTGGATCAGCTTCCCCCCAGAGATACAGACAGTGCCCTCTCTGCATGTTTTGAAGCTCCTGGTTTTGCTGGGTTTGGTTGGATAAAACAGTCTGGGCTGTCTATGGGGTTATATGTTTTTAACAGTTTTTATTGTTTTGTATTTTGTATTTATAAGCCATTACAGTGGGCAGTTATAATAAATTATTATTGTTGTTGTTATTAATATCTCAATCTGTTAGAGTGACAAGGTTATGAAAATATCTGTAGTTCCAGGAAAAACAAAGATGGACAGCCTACCAAAGTTATAATATTAAGGGAACTGGTTTAAATTATTTAATTAAAATTAATTCAACTTCCTGCCTTAATGTTAAATAATAAATAATATCAAACATTAACAAAGTGTGCTATATCTTGTACAGATTCCAAGACACACACACATGTACAGAGAGAGAGAGAGGTAAACTAATTTGCCAATCAGGAAAGGGTTTGGTCCCCGTTAGAGATCTTCCTTGGTTAACAAGATTACATTTCAGTTTTGAGGAGAGAAAGAAAAATAAGAAAAGGACCTCCACAACAGAAAAGGTGCACAATATACCCCCAATCAATCCAGTTCAGATCAGTTCAATGGCAAACCAGCTCAGACATATGAGTCTACCAGTGCAATGGCACATTTAGCTCTGCTTGAATGATCTACAAAGAAATCTTTAAAAGGAATAACATAATGATTTACAGTAGCTGTTATATGAAACTACACACAGCACTCCACCTATCTGGTATCCAGGAAATGTTCCTTTCAGAGATGGAACAGATACTGGAGTTTGAGAGACTAATCAGCTTATAAAGAGTTGCTATAAAGAAGGCCAAACAAAATCAATTCTTTTTCTCAGCAATAGGGGACTGTGGCAAACCAGACCTGCTCATCAACAAGGAAGTAACTATATATATATTTAAAAGTTTGCTAATTGCCGGCTGCCTGGCTGCAGAAACTAGCTGAACGTGCTTTTAAGAGGTTGATTTAAGTTAATGGTAGCTCCCTCAATTCTGTGCCAAGCCTTCCTGTTAGCAGTGCTAAGTATTTTGTGTTTGTTGTAGATGTTTTGAAAGGTCTTAGAATAGGAAGGCCAGAAAACTAGAACTGAATTCACACTCTTAATGCTAAGTAGTGTATTCATCTAAAAAGAAAACATGATCACAGAATGTGGGGGTATTGAAAAGTCATTAGATGGCACATTAAAAACCTTGGTTGCATTTAAAAATGACCTTCCTTACGCCCTCAGATTTATTGAGCAAAAATCATCTCCTAAATGCAACCAAGGACCCCAGTTTAAAAAAATGTGACTGAGGAATTTTGTGGTCAGTAAGGGTTTGACACTGACTTGATGGCACATAATCAATCAATCAATCAATCAAACAAACAAACAAACAGACACTATATGAAAGAGAAGCAGATTCTAAGTTTCATAGAACCCTCACAAACACAAATGTTCTGGCTAGAGCAGTGTTGTCCAAACTTGGCCACTTTAAGATGAGTGGACTTCAACTCCCA